TCAATGGCATTTCTCTTCAACTTAATCATAGGCATTTTTGGTTCTCCCAAGTTTAAAAATATATTGTAGAGAAATACTATTATTTTTTAGCATTTAATGTGTTTAAAAATTATAAGTAGGTTTTAAAAAGTAAGACTTGCTCCTTTTTTTTTTTTTTTAAAAGGAGAAAATTACTCTCCATTCATAAATACTTTAAATATTAAAAAACAATATTTTCTTTAAGTAAAATTTTAAATTAGTGAGAATAAAATGTTTATAAACAACTCAAAAATTATTCTACCAAATATCCTTCCAATCTGTTGTCTTTTTATTGAATTTGATATCAATTTTAAGACCAAATACAACATACACAGAAAAAACAAAAAACAAAAATGACAACTTTTTCATTTTATGATGTAATTTACTGTATTTATTTTTATTTTGTTATTATTTTAAAGAGATAATTACAATATATATCAAATAAAAAATTTATTTAAATAGTGATTCATTAAGAATAAATATAAAATTTTTATCAATTAATTATTACATTTTTATTTTATTTGACAAAAAAATTTAGGTTTACTCAAGGACGAAGCTTGACCAAAATTTTAGGAGCTGACAATTTTTTTTTCATCACAAACAAATATACTATAAACTGCAGTATAGGATAAAAATAATATTAAAAATTTGTCTAAAATTTATTTTTTACCATTTCAAGATGGACAAATATTTTTCCTCTCTAACCTTATTTTATTCCTTAAGTTTAATTCTCCATCATATTGTTAATTTTATTTTGTATATAATTAAATACTTAAAATGATAAATATGATGAGTTTTTAGAGCTTACATCAATTAAAGAGATCAAACTAATTAAATACCCTTACCATAAAACTCAAAACATAATACACAAAACAAGTGTAGCAAAAAAAGTATATCCCACTAAGGTAATTAATGCACTAAACACTTGGCAGGAAAAATCTACTTTAGCCCTTCACCTTATTACGTTTGAAGATTTTAGCCCCTCACCTTATATTATGATATCTTAATCCCTCATCTTACTAGATTTGTAGATTTTAACATTTTACCTTATACTATGACACTTTTAATTCCTCATCTATTAAAATTAAAAAAAATAGCTCTCACTTTGTAACATTTTATTAGTTCTATTAGTTGACTGTTAACTCTATTAATTAACTGTTAATTAACTGTTAGCTTTTAAAAATCTTTTTTCAGCTAATAGTATTAATATAACGAATTTTATAATATTTCATTAATTTTGTTAATTGACTATTAGTTGACTGTTAGTTGACAAAAATCTACTTTCAACTAACAAAGTTAATGGTCAGTATAAAATGAGGGTTATTTTTTTCGATTTTAATAGATGAGGGGCCAAAACCTATAAATCTAGTAAAATGAGAGGTTAAAAGTATTATAATATAAGATGAGGGATTAAAACTTTCAAACTTGATAAGGTAAGGGATTAAAAGTAGATTTTTGCCACACTTAGTATGTAAAACAAAAAGA